GTTGGAGCAGTCATCACCATTGTGACTTCCAATACGGGGTATCTTTTTTCTTGCGTGTAATCATTCAATCCTAACAATAATCTAACAGTTGCTACTCATAATTCAATGGCTTAATTGATGTTCTTTGATGTTTGTGACTCATATAAGTTTCTTATCATGGTTTCCTTGGAGCAGGTTGTACTTTCTTGCTCAAAAGAGATGGCCGGTGGTCCAGCAACATTTTCAGATATTGGGAAAAGGGCGAGAGGTACAGTTCTTTTTTGCAAACATTGTATTGATATTGGCATCCCAACAATTTTTTAACCGGTAGATGCAATAAGCATCAGCTTGTTAGTCCTTGATTGTCTTTCTGATGTCCGAGTTCATATTCGAGACAGATGTTCAGGTAGGAAAAAGAATTGATTCATGATATTGTTTCACTTCCTCATTTTTTATTGTTAAGGCTAAATGTTCTGCTATTAAATAATTGATATGGTTAATGTATTTGTTCTTCTGTTGCCCTTGGAACTAAGATGGATGAAGGTACTATTTTCTTTCATAATTTTATAAGGGGTTGGTAAGGAATGCGATTTTAGGTACATATTTTTTGCTACATGTTGAATGATTCTTAGTCAAATGATTCTTAACAATTACATTGAATCTCCTCTTATGAATCACCACTTATTTGACTGATGCTACAGTCGAACAACCACAACAAAAGGTTTTACCTGCTCATTCAGTGTGCATCTATATTTCCATCTTGTCTAATAGTTGCTTTAGTTTCACGATCATTATTGGCCGAACGATCATATTTTGAACAATCAGGACCTACACCTGATGATTATAATTATGTGCTCCACCTGACTCTACTCAGTCTGTCTTAAACCAAAATTACTGCTGTCCTGCTATGAAAAGTTGTTTTGCAGACCTTCATACCAATAATGCATAGTTAATCACAGTGTTTCATCTAGCAGACAAGAAGACAAGGAGGCCCAGGAAAATCAAATGTTTTGTTAGAAACATGTTAAAATCCTTGATACCACCACAAGTTGGTTTTCATAGAAATTGATGACCTATCACAATGGCATTAAACTCATACCTAATCGCCTGAAATGCTGCCAATAATTCTTAGTGGTGTTCAGCTTTTAATCTTCCCTAATCTTTTCTGTGTTTTGGATATGGCTAATGTTGTTAGTTTTAAATGCAGATCTTTTGACTAAAGATTATACCTTCGATCACAAGTTTACCCTGACACTTCCGAGCTCAACTGGGATGGTGCACTCTCAACCAATTCTCTCTCTCTCTCTCTCTCTCTCTCTCTCTCTCTCTCTCTCTCTACATGTGTGTGTGTGCGCGTGTGTGCGGTGTGTTGGTTTTTTTTCTTTTGGGGGGGGGGGCTTTATCCCAAGTTAGGCGCAATGTATAGATTGAACAATATCACCTTATGAGGACCAACTTACAACAATTACTTTCTGTGCACAACTTTCTTACATGTCCGTACAATGGTTGCGGAAAACTGAAAATTTGGAGATCCCAGATTCACATGCTTGTTACAGAAAATCATGATATTTGAACATTGTAGAAATACATGCCTTAGTTGATTTCAAACTCTGAACATATTTGCATAGAAATGACTTTGAGTCCTTTGTCCCTGGGAATTGGTGTTGTAAATTCACCTCTCTAAGTCATTAAACTGTTGAATGCTGTTATGGATTTTAATTTTTGCGTTGCAGGGACTTACAGCTACTGGTTTGAAAAGGGATCAAATTTTCGTGGGTGACATAAATACGGTTTACAAGGGTGAAAATACTACAGTGGATGTGAAAGTTGACTCATATTCAAATGTAAGAACATTGATGTTGGTCCCGGAACGTTTTTTTTTAACCCTCCTACTTATTTTTTTATAGATAGTTCCACATCCATGCATAAATGCTTCTTTTATATTATGGACTGATTGAATATCTTTATTTATGTATTCACATTTCATCAGGTGTCGACAAAAGTGACTGTTTCTGGTGTCCTGCCGAGTACCAAAGCTGCCCTTAGCTTTAAAATACCGGATCACAAGTCTGGCAAGGTCAGTTATGTTTTTCAAATATATGGTTTTGTGTCTGGTTTGTTGGTTTTCTGTTTCTGAAGCAGAATCTATGGTTGTCCCGCGTCCTTTGAATGTTTTGAATGTATTACATGATATTCATTAATGCGTGGCTACCTCTATGGTCATACAAGATTGGATATTGAATAGCATCATGTGAGACTTTGCAACTTTGCATATATCATTATTTTTTGCAGACTAGCATCTTTCCTCCAGTTATGTTTTTCAAATATATGGCCTTGTGTCTGGTTTGTTGGTTTTCTGTTTCTGAAGCGGAATCTATGGTTGTCTCGCATCCTTTGATTGTTTTGAATGTATTACATGATGTTCATTAATGCGTAGCTACCTGTATGGTCATACAAGATTTGATTGCCCAAATGCGTTCTATGCTTGTATCTTGTATGAACATCATTGTGGGACGTAAATTCGGAAAATGTGCTGATTGGGAGGGGCTGCTTATGTTGGTGCTAGATTAATTATCAGACATGAATCACTAACTCCATTATTGTACATCAGTTGGAGCTGCAGTACCTCCATCATCACGCAGCAATTGATTCAAGCATAGGTCTGAACCCAACTCCCCTTTTGGAGTTTTCTGCAGCAATTGGTAGCAAGGATCTCAGTCTCGGTGGTGAAGTTGGATTCGATACTGCTTCTGCTTCTTTAACCAAATATAATGCTGGGATTGGCTTGAACAGGCCAGATTTTTCTGCTGCAGTTCTTCTGTAAGTATGGTTAGGAGAACATATTTTGCTACGTTAGGTATTTACTATTTAGTGTTCTAATGATGCACATAGACTACTGCTATCTATAAATGCTCCAATGTCTTTGTCATATGTCTCCATCTGCTAGAGGAATAGGTTTTTATTGTATATGTGGGGTATCAATGGGTGATTGGTCTTGACGTAGTAAGCAAGCCAAATAACTCAAAGACTTTACATTGTTGTGATAATACATCTAGATGATGCTAGTTATTCTGCAAGTCAAAAGAAAGCACAAGCGAGAGTTGATTAGGTTGCGTTGTCTTTATGCAATAGATTATAGTACTGTTTTAGTTTCGTTTTCTGCTTTCATTACTCCCTTCTGGTTTGGCAATGTGTTTCCACAAGTTTGTGATGGTGTTTTGTTTGCTTATATTAATTACTCGCAGAATATTTAACCAGCAAAATACCCTAAAATTAAGGCCCGCCCAGTCATTGAGAGAAGGCTTTGTTATCTATATGTGCATAATCTGCTAGTGTAGAAAGATCCATTCCTTAGTGAAGGAGGCGATAACAATTTATAGTCAACTGGAGATATTGCATTAACAATAGCAAAGGAAAGAAGAGGGAGGTTTACCTACAGAATTAGTTTTAAATCAAATTGTACCTGCAACAGAGGAGACGTGATGAAATTGACGGTGAGTTTCCAACACGTTCTCATGGTGATGCATATTGTGTGGAGCAAGACTTAATTTTATTTGTTGTAGATCAATCAGCGGACAAACAATTTTGTGTGGTCTGTATTGAACATTCTTAGAGTTGACGCGTTTGTGCATTTCGATGATATTTTATATAGCCTTAAACTGATCTATTAATTATTAAACTCTAACAGGACTGACAAGGGGCAAACTCTGAAGGCCTCCTACATCCACTTGGTGGACCCTTTCAATGCAGTTGCCGCTGAATTGACGCATAGATTCTCCACCTACGAGAACAGCTTTAGCATGGGAAGCTCTCACACAGTCGATCCATGCACTGTTGTGAAGACCCGGTTCTCAGACAATGGAAAGTTGGCCTTATTGGGCCAGCGAGAGTGGAGGCCAAAATCGCTTATTACTGTGTCTGCCGAGTATGACTCAAAGGCCATCAATGCGGCGCCCAAGCTCGGTCTCGCTCTTGCTCTCAAACCGTAAAGTGGACGAAATATGTTGATGCTGCTTAGCTAGTTGAAATTGATAAAGTTGTGGTTTTGCCCATTCTTTCAAGCCGGTGACGGTTTTGTTCTGCCCAGTTGGTGCTGGGAAACTGACGAGGGATAATGCATAAAAGCTTCTAAAAGAACTATAGGGAAAACAGTAACCCAGTTTTGCAAAAGGTTCATAATCACAGATTATATTTTTCCATTGGAATGTCAGGACATCATACAAAGCCTGAGAAGACTATTCATGATTCAATTCATTTTCCTCTTTTCACATTCGTTTCTCTTGTGCTGGATCATTTGGTTATAACTTGATCAATCATCTTTTGGCTCGGATAATGTTGTTATCTTGTCACTGCATTTCTCTAGTTGCTTTGTCGAGTTCACATACATCTGCTCTTTGACCTGTGTATGTCCTCCCTTTGTTTCATCAATCTGGTTGTAATTTAGTTCAGGCTTTCTTGTTCACCTGCAATGAGATGATTACTCTTCGCGGGACTGGTTTTAGCTTCATAGTTGCTAATTGCGAGCTAAGGTGTCTTCAGTTTTAGTATTACTAGGAGGGTTTTGACTTTTGGGTGGGGGGGGGGGGGGGAGGTGGGTGGGGGTGGTGTTGTGGGGGAAGAAGAAGCTGGTGTTTATATATGCAGATTTAGCCGAGTCATAGAGTTCGGATTGAAAAGGGGTACTATCAATGCCAGTGAATGGCTTTGAGAGTGAAGCCCCAGCTGATCTCTACGAGTTCTCTTTTGCTTTTTGGTGGCTTAAACATTTCAGAGAATATCTATGAGATTAATTGGCGTTTCTGCAAAAGCTTCTTCACTGTTTACATATTAGTAGGTCAAGTCTAGTATGCTACTCAACAAAGAAAAAGAGGCATAAAATTCAAATGATATTTCACGTAATTAACTCTGCCTGTCAAGAGTCAGAACTCTCACGGGTGGATTCATGTTGAATCCAAGGCAATCATGCGTGGCTGAGAAAATAGTTAACGGAAAAATTCATAGTTCAATTCATTGTGCACAGGATTTGAAACCCTCTGTTGGAGACTCGAACAAAAATTATATCCTGCCAAATAATATAGTTCAACTGAAACATCATAAAATCAAACAATAAATCCTTATCTAGAGCCCATCTTTCTTTAGTAAAGGCACTCGACTAAAGTCGCAGCAGCAGATAACATCGGCGACGTTTGTCGGCTTGCGGCTGGAGCGAAATGATGAATCTGGGAACCATAGTGATCGACATCGTGCTCCGGTGCCGGAAGGTTAAGATCCAAAGGAAGAATGTTGCCTGGTCGTTTTTGATCGGTGCGTAGTGTTACCTCAAGGCTCGTAACTGAGACAAGACGGCCACCCGCATTGAGCGCTCGGTGTCGCCTCATGTGACCTCCAAGAGCTTGGCCTGACCTGAACTGCAATCCGCATATCGAGCACTCGCGCATCTTCATGTCGACGTTGTCATGACCAACACGCATCTTTGTGCCACTATGGCCGAGTACATGGCCTGGATCATTGTCACAATCTTTCTTGGGAGATGATTTCACTAGCTTCTGTTGTCCCATGGACTTAGGCTTCTTCATGTGGCTGGACCTGTGGCCTCCCAGAGCTTGGAATGATGTGAATGTCCGGCCACATGTCTTGCATTTATATGATTGAACACAACCTTTGCGTTTCCCATCGGTGCCACAGTCACAAACTTCTTGGCCACCTTTGTCGTCTTCTACTTGTCTCGGGACATTGCCTTGTGCCAAAAGAATGAGGCAATCGGCCATGTCCTCCTCTTGATGTTCGCTGGTGCTACTCTCTTCCATGTCCACCGTGGACGACGGGGACGACAAGAGCAAGCCGTTATCGTCGATGCCGCCGCACGACAGAGCAATAGTCGTCATTGCGGCTTCGACGTGTGCGGGCGACAACCTCTGGCGGCGTTTCGTACGCTTGCCTTTGACAATTTGTGCGCGATTATCCGAGCCCACAAACCGATCCATGTTGTCTCCAAGGTATGTGACCAGAAAGTTTGGAGCTTGCTTGAAAAAATAAGTTTCTTTATGTATGTATTATTATAACTTTAGTTTTAATGGCCGCATTTAAATTTGGTTGAATTCGGGGAGATGTTGAGGTTAGGAGATCTCAAGAAACGGCCTTTGAACACATAACATTGGATCATTAATTGTCCCAGATCCTAAATGACAACATCAACATTGGAGTTACTTTTTTCTTTTTTTATTTTTATTTTTAGTTTTCTGGAACCAAAAACTGTCTTGAACTCTTAAATTAGGGTCGCATTACCCTCTCGCCGATTTTCCACATAAGTGCAATGAATGCTACAAATCGTAATCCTTGATTGGGTCTTAATGATAGGTCATTATTATAACTCGAGTTAATGATCTGCTTAGGACCCCCCAATGGGAAATTCACCTTTCATAAACCGATATGGTTTCTAGAACCATTGGCTGAGATATATATCTGTTTCACCGAAAGTGATGAAATATCCTTCAAGAATATGGATGGATCAATATGAATCGACAAAGATTGCGAAACTTCTTTTATTGATTTTGGACAGGAAAGTAAATAATTAGAAATTTAAAAAGTATGAAAACTGAAGATAGTCGTGTCTAGTCATGTAAATTGCAAGAAAGTAAAAAAAAATAGAGATAAATTTACATAAGAATGTTGAATTATGTGATTGATTTGGGTTCTTTTACAATTAACACACTTGGGGTATTTTATAGACGGTTACATATGACTGATACATACAACGATTACTGAATTTGAAAAAAGAAATAACTTCCTAATCTTACCTGTGATTACAAAAAGTTACACGATCTCCTATTATCTAGCAACACTTCTCCACAAGAAGTTGTAAAAATCCCAAAAACATAATTAAGTTCTTGTGTCGATTGATCATCATTGCCTTTGAGTTCCAATACTTCGTAAAATCTGCAATAGCTTTATCGATTGGTGAAGGCTTTCGTCGATAACTTTCACTTTGTCGATGACTTCTTTTCAAGTTGTCGAGTATTTGACCAAACTATTATTATCGACTAAGTTTGGCACTTATCAATACTAACAAAAAAAAATTTGGTCATTTTTTAGCATCAACATATGCCCCTTTTTTTAAAAAATTGAATGATTCATCGATCATTCAATTTTTCTAAATTAAATAATCAAGAGTCATCATATGCCTAATTGTCATCGATAAATTTGATTTTTCCCAACCCAATTGCCTCTCGAATTGTTTTTTTCTAAAACAACACAAGTAATTGTGTTATGGCTCCATGAATAGTGCCACTTGCACTACTTTTTGTTTACTAAGTCTTCTTTACTTGGAATTACATGACCTTCAGTTAATTAAATTAGGCCATTTTCAAATGTAAGTCGAACATTTCGTTTGATTTATTAATATCGAACGAGTAAAGTTGAGAGTATTAATCCTAGCCATTATATTTTTTGGTAGGCTTTAAGGATCGACAAACGGAAGGCTGGTCAAGCACCATTTGTGCCACATTTACTTCAATGTTTTCATTCGAGCAGATTCATACTTTAACTCATAATATTCCATTAGAGCGACATTTTGTGTAAAGTATTCATGTGACCCTTTATCTCTATCATTTAACAATTGCTAATATTTTGATACTCTCATTGCCAATTGAAATAAATCAACAAAGTCTTGGCCTTCAAATTTACCTCTAAAATTGAATTTCAATCCATTGAAATCCAGATTCGTGAATTCTTTTTCTAAAAGTGAAGTGAGGCATCTACTTTTAGACTTCTTAATCAAATAATAAATTGATCAACTGACTCATTATTATATTCACTATTATATTGATAAAGTCTAACCAAATCAGCAATCGATATTTCAGGTACCATCTATAAAATTGAGAATGGAAAATCGTATTTCCATCTATGACCAATTACACACCGATTAGGTAGTAAATTAGTGTACCAGGTAAAGTAAAAGCAGTTATTAACAAAGACAAAGGAAATACCTTAAGTCTTAAAAACCCATATGTCCCTACTTTCCCCACACTAGGATATAAAATTGAATAATGTGTTCGATGATCGATTTTCTATCTTTACTAATTAAATTGACAAAGTCGGGGGTATTAAAACCTCTTGGAAAAGGCTAGTTATCGACCAATTGGAGATGTGGTTTATTATAACCATGTATAATAACATCCCTGTCTAATATCAATTGTTGTCAAACTTCTTTGGCAAATTGTACAGGGTTTAAGTAGGGATTTAGTTAGCCATTTTGCCCCTTAGGCGGTGAAACTGGTCTTGCTAGATTATTTACGTTAATCGGAATGTTAGGCCCAATAGGAATATTCACATTGTGTATTACTGATATAGCCACTGGCTTTACATTTTCAATATTTGACAATTGACTAGTTTGTTGAGCAATTTGATTTTCCAAATTATTGTTACCAATTTGGTTATTTTGATCGACAGTAGCCCAATTATTTCTTTTATTCTGACCTTCATTAGAAGATTCTGCATAATTCTTAGGGGTTGACTACTCTGACCAACATTATAAGCATCAATAAATAGAGAAAGCTTAGGATAGTACCCATTAAATAATCTTGGCCTCAAGGGCATTGTTCATTGATGACGATCGACTTGAATACGTTGGATATATGACTCTCAATGTAGTTGAACATTGCACCCTAATGCTCTTCAAACATTCTTCTCATGGTTGACACCATGTTAGGATTTGGTGCAACCTCCCTAAACTGTTCATCAATGTGATGTATCGGAAGATCAACTTCCTTGCATCGATTATCTCTTGCCGCTCTCCCAGCGGATAAAGTATTAGAATGCGAGGTATCTCATTACCGATTTGTGGTAATGGGTTGTTGTTGCCAACATCATTGTTAGATTCTTGTTGATTTCTAGTTCTTGCCATCGTAATATCCTCGAATCAACCAAATGTGTCCCATCAGGTGTGCCAAAAAAATGTTACACCGCAAGTGATAAATTATCCTTCAATAATATGGATGGATCAATATAAATCGATAAATGTTGCGAAGGATCCTTTGTTGATTTTTGTTAGGAAAATAAAATGACAAAAAATTTAAAGGTACAAAAACCGGAGACAATTGTGTCCAACCATGTAAATTATAGGGCGTTGAATTATGTGATTGATTGGAGTTCTTTTACAATGTACATACTCGGGATATTCATAACCCTCTACATATGATTACATATGACGGTTACATACAACAGTTACTAAATTTGAATAAGAAATAACTTTCTAACCCTATTGGTGGTTACATGAAGTTACACGATCTCCTATTATCTAGCAACACATATCCAAAATAAGTTATAAAAATCCTATGGACATAACTACCTAGCAATTGTGTTCTTGTGTCGATTCATCGTCATTGCCTTCGAGTTCCAACACTTAGTAAAACCTGCAATAGCCTTGCCGACTAGTGAAGGCCTTCGTCGATAACTTTCACTTTGTCGATGGCTTCACTAGCGATTGTCAATTCATAGAATTGGACTGGGCATTCTTCCTAGTGGGAGGAAAATTGTGGAAAATTACCAAAAAATGTTCTAAACCTATTATGTTTGTGCCAATTCAGTTCTAAACCTTTCAATTATGCCAATTGAGTCCTAAACCTTTTCACGTTTGCCAATTGAGTATATCTGGCCAATTTGGGCAGGAAATTGCTGATGTGGATGCCGGTTTTCTTACATGGCACAACCAACGATGATGTAGATAAATTTTTCAATTTAAAAAAATCAAAATTTTTTAATTATTTTCCTTTCTTTTCTTCTATTTTCTTCTTCCTTCTTCCTTGGCCGACGACCGGCTAGAGGCGAGGGCCACCCTCATTTGATCTAGCATGGGCCAACTTTGCCTGGCGAGAGCGAGTCTTGCCCGAGCCCGGCGAGGCTCCACCTCGCCAGATCCCGGCAAGCTTGAGCCCTCGCCATATTCAGATGAGCAAATTAAATCACATTATGTTGAAATAGTTCACACCAACTATATTTGGGAGGTAGTCGTGAGCAAGATGCTAAAAGGCTTCGTCTGAAACTTGGGACGTAAAAAACGAGGGTACTCCCAAGGCAGGGTGGGAAGAAAAATACAGATCGATGGAAGTTCCAATAAAGGAGTTTCCAACGAGGGTGAGCTAACAACAGAAGTAAGTATTATTCGTTGTGTAATATTCATCTTGACTAATGTATTCTTTGGACTAATAATGACAATGAAGGCGGCCAAAGAAAAGTCCTACATACGTTCAAAAGCTAATGATGATGATCAAAGCTTCGTTCAAAAAGCAGGTACGATATGAAAAAAGGTGGAAGCATATTCGTGCTCTCTTTTGCAATTAGTAAAGAAAAGTATCATCAACAGAGGTCGAGCATTCATTCAATAAGCAGCACAAACGACTATATTTAATCCGTAATTTGAAGGGAAAAATGGCCTATACAAAAGGAAAATATTCCTTTTTCGCACGCATCAATCTCAAAACTCATATCTACACAAAAAAAAAAAAAAAATCAAAGAATTAGCTTGACAGCTTAAGGTTCAGACATTCCGGAAAACAATGATAGCGGAAGAAATTTAAAACCCTAGTTCATCCGCGTCAACTAGCAGATGCAGCTCTAGGAAAACTGAGATTTGATGAACTTTATCGACTCGACCGGACCACCTTTCCGCCGCACGAAAAGCATAGAAAAGGCAAGTTTGCGGTGGAGACCACAATGCCCCGAACCTGGACTTTACAAAAGATGTTATGAATCAATCAAACCTCTTCCATCAAATGCATGCCCGACCAAGTATTTGCATCGTCACGGCGACCTCGACTGGAAGCTATTCCCCCGGCAATAGCGAAGCTCCATAGAAATCTGTCTCTCCAGCTGAAGTTGGCGATGGAAATTAGCGATGAACATATCGGCTCTCTTGTCGATATCGTCCTCGGAGGGATAACTTATCGTTCTCTGAAGCCCCAACCCTCTCGAAGAGCCTGGCAAGCCTTCGTACTCTTTATCGTCCATCGATGTGCATGCCCTCAACCCGGGGCGGTCGCTGAAGCTCAGGAGCCGCTTGCTCGAAGGGCGGCGCGTCCCGGAGGAGAGAATCCACCGGTGGAGGTCGAAATTCAATAGGAATCTCACCTTGTGGACTGCTCTTCTCAGGCGGCCGAGCAACGGCCAGTTATCCATGTGCCCTTGTGTTGGAGACCGAAAGACTGTCAACGATTGCAACTCCTCTTCGGCTTTGTGAATGGAATGTTTCGGAACCTTCAATGAAGAGTGGGGTCTAAGGTTGCGTATTTATAGGGAGAGGACTCTGAATTAATTTATGCGTGGAAGCATGCGACAAGAAGTTGCGAGGCAATTAAGATAAACGATGCGTGAGTCGATGGAAGACCGTGTTGTTTGATGACGTGTAAGAGTTGAAGCACTGTGTAAGTCATCCAGAAATTTAGAATTGTCAAACCGTTTGACGGGTTCTTCAGTTTGAAGAATTCTGTTCGATAAAAATATATTTACTTTTAGGTGGAAAAATTCAATTGATTCTCTATATTTAGCTTCAGAGTGGACCGTATAGAGCTAAAGTATGGGATTTGTCATAGACTATAGGTTCTGGGGATCATATGATATACAAGGAGAAAATCGATAAGAAGTTGTATTCCTAAATTACAAGCTAATAATGTGTTCAACATAGCACCAAAGTAATGTTTGCTACATAATGAGATCAATGTACAAAAACCACATGACTTATGCATTGAAGCTATGCACGGGACGATTTTATTGAGGTATTAATGGGTTACAAATTTCATCTCGTTAACACCTGAAATCTCAACTGAGAATATACTAAAAAAAGAGTAAATATCCACTCCGAATTAAGGGTCGCCAATTCAAGTCTTGATTAACGTATATCGAGCCGGATCACCGCAAATTTCGTCAGAGCATTTCACAAGTTGAGACTATATCAGTTAAGAATAATAAAATGAAATAGAGAATTGTGAAATTCTCTGTATAATTCGATATATTTTAATGAAGATTATATCAGCTTATTTAGAGGTTTTATGAGATACCTTTTGAAGGTAACACATATCAATCAAGATAATTTACCAAAATTTTTTTATTTTTTGGTTGGTTTCAGTCTTCTACAAAGAAAGATTATAATAGTAATTGAACCAAGTGAATTGAACACTTTCACGTTCGTTTGTGGTTCGGTTAAATTGGCCAGTTGCTTAATTGGAAAGCTGTAACTTGGTCTATTTGTCACGCAAAGGATTTGACCATATTTATATATGTGTGTGAGACAGCTAGTTGCATCGTGCAATCCTTGCAAGAACCATCTTCCTCGTAAAAGCTTCAATTCCCCTCATTTAGACATGCATGCATGGCCGTCGCAGTTTCATTTCACTGTTTCTTTTGTCTATTCCCCAGATATCAAAATTTTAATTCATTTTAACCTAACTCTTGCGAGTAGGTGAAAGTCAATGACGGATTTGCTTACCACTTCTTTATCAGCTTCATCTCAACATAAAATCCAGGATTAATACTTTATTTGTTTCGCGAAAAACGGATGATTTAAAAAATAATTTCCTAGAAAATTATAGCTCTTATCGCTTACAAAAAACGGAATAAACGAAAAATACTTTTATCGTCCACGAAAGTATTTAAATATAAATTATTGTCGATAATAAATATATTTAACTAATTATTTCAGGCGATACATACGATCATTTTTAAAAAAAATATTTTCAAAATCATTCATTTTTTGTTTGAAGCAACTCTATATATATATATATATATATATATATATATATATATATATATATATATATATATATATATAAGTATGTATGTATATTATTCCATGACATGGTAGCTCATCCATGCATACTTTCCTTTTTCTTTTTCTTTTTCTTTTTTTTTCACGTGGAAACCCACGATATTTTTGCGGACACGTGCTGCACTTGTTTACTTGGTAATCAAGTTAGTGTACAATTGACGCAGACGGAGGGCGATAAGCTTGGATAATTTGTCCACTTAAATTTTTTATTTTATTTGAATTCCTCTGTCCTCTTCAAATTTTCGGCTTTCTTATCAAGTTTTTGGTTTTTTGTTCTTTTTTTGACCATTTGTGAACATGAGCTGTTGCTTCTGGCTTTCAGGCACCGATTGACCAATTCTTTTCTATGGCGAAGAGAGATACCTCCCTTTACTTGGAGAAAATTAGCCCCCCGCCAAAAAGTAACTTTTAACTTATAAATAGTTAAGTTTTTCATGTGGTTTACTTGGAAAAAAAATCACGAGTTATTATAAACTTATGTGTGTTGGGAAAATTATCCAAAAAATCATAAATCTATTATACGGCGGCCACCGGTTATAAACTTTTTGATTTAACCAATTTAATCTTAAATCTTTTGAAAAGTTTTCTGATGTAGTCCTTCCGGTTAATCTTCGTCGGAAATCACTGACGTGGCAATCCAATTAGCGGCAGCTATCCTATGTGGTACGGCCGGTGCTAACGTAAATGATTTTTGTAATTTTTTTTTTTTATCTTTTTTCCTTCTTTCTCTGTCGATTGCTAGGCCTCGGCAATAGCTAGATTTTAAAAAGTAAAAAAAATACAAAAATCGTCTACGTTAGCATCGGCTGTGCCACGTAAGATAGCCAACATCCAGCTCAATAATTTCTGACCAAAATTAGCCAAATGGACTACATTGAAAAATCGTCAAAAATTTTAGGATTAAATTGGCCAAATTGAAAAGTTTAGTACTGACTTGATCGCCGTACAATAAGTTTAAAACTTTGTTGACAAGTATCCCCGTGTGCGTTTCACGTGAATAGAAGTCATTCTCTATTTCTATTCATTTGTCTACAAATGCCAAAATAGTAAATACTCCCAAAACATAGCTATGATTTCTAATAATTAGACCAATGATATATGTAAATATCGCTATGACTTTTGATCTGGTAATTACGGATTTTGAGTATATATGATTTTCATTATTTATATCATTAAACTAATCAAAATTATATATTGGATGTTGTTATGATTATCTCTCGACAAATAAGATCCGTCATTTTGGTCAAAGATAGTCGAATGGAGTTGGTGGCCTAAGCTGCATATCTCCGGTCCGGACGCATCCTCCATCATAAAATTTGATAATTTGCCTCAAATAACACATGCCTTTTTCTAAGTTTGACCGTGAATCACAACCTCTTAGTAATTTTGGGCTCAAGAAGAAGGAATATTTCCATACAAAGGCATTATGGGCCTCGTCAAATGGGCTACACATTGGAAAGGCGGATCAAGCACATTAACCACGTAGAAAAATTCCGACTTAATCCAACTACTGGTCCGCCTCGAGGGAAATTCTTGCCTAGATTCGTGTTTGCGGATCGCTTGCGATCACAACCCTTGATTTTTTTTATTGATCACGCAAAAGGAGCCCTCACGAGTTCATATGATCAATTGTTGCAATCGATCCAAATAAGAGAGATTTGTCAGCTCTACGGAGTCAGGCTGAATTGTAGTTTTCGAGGTGCGATGGGTACGAAATCCCCATCAGCCAGTCGATAATTTAGGAACCGAGCGAGCTGCCTTTTTCAGGTGATTTCATCCGACTCAATGGATCACTTGTAATGCAAGGAGACTATGTTGAATCACGGTACACATTTCTAACTTGTATTCAAGCATGAGCCACAACATTTAGGTTGATCTCTAAAGAGAAAATAGTCCAAAAAGTTTTAAACCTATTGTACGGCGACTAATTCATTCATAAACCTTTCATTTATGTCAATTTAGTCTTAAACCTTTTGACAATGTGTTAATTTAATACTGAACCTTTTGACGATTTGTCAATTTAGTCCTTTTGACAAAATTTGGTCGGAAGTCACTGATGTGGCAATCTAGTAAGGGTCGGCCATCCTATGTGGCACTACCGACCTGACATGGACAAAATTTTATTATTTTTTTCAAAAAATTCAGAATTTTTTGAATTTTTTTATTTTCTTTCCTTTTTTTCCCTTCTTTCTCCACCGATCACTAGGCCTTGGGAATGCCTCGCGACCGGCCATAGGCAAGCACTGGTGAGCTGGCGAGAGTCGAGCCTCGCCGGTGACCTCGATAGTGACTAGGGAGGCTCGACCCTTGTCCAATCCGGCAAGGTCGAGCCTCGCCTCACCAGTCTCGACCTAGCCAGTGGCTAAGCGAGGCTCGACCCTCGCTAGTCCAGCAAAGTCGAGCCTTACTAGCCCTTGGCAAGGCTAGCGACCTTGCCAGCAGCTATGCGAAGCTCAACCCTCACCCGAGGCTGGCAAGGTCACCGGCCTAGCTAGTGGCCGGTGAGTCAAGGCTAGCCCTTACCTGTGGCCAGTTGCAAGCCATTACCGAGGCTCAATGATAGGCGGAGGAAGAATGGAAAAGAAAAGAAAAGAAAAGAACATAATATAAAAAAAAAATTAAAAAAATGTTTACATTAGCGTCGGCAGTATCACATAGGGCAGCCGACATCCACGAAAGTGATTTCCAGCTAAAATTGGCTGGAAAGACTAAACTGACATATTATAAAAGGTTTAGGTTGACAAATGGTGAAATAGTTTAGGACTGAATTGGCACAATTAAAAGGTTTAGGACTCAATTAGCAAGTTGTCATAAGGTTTAGGACTGAACTGACACAATTGAAAGGTTTAGGACTCCATTTAACACCGTACAATAGGTGTAGGACTTTGTGTACAATTTTCCCGTCGCTAAAGGTGTCTCAAGCTATAATAATCCACACTGTCGAAATGCAATCATGACACCTTTCAAATACGAAGAATTAATAAATATATTTAGGGTAATGAGTCTTGATATGTTTCTAAAGACACTCTACGCAATTTCCGTTGATAAGTTCCTCTCAGATTATATAATTAGATTCCTCATCATTCATTAACGCTCAAATAGTATTTGGCAAGCTTGTAGATTCATGCATCTGATGCGCCCTACACGGTTATCCATTTATAGCTCTGGCACGTTCCTTGTCTAAAGATTTGCTGATGAATTGTCATATTCTTAGCCAGTCATAACTACAGGAGATCATATCTTAACCCGTACAACATTGACATTTCGTTTCGCTGATGGATGCACACAATACATGATTTGGTATCTGCAAGCCCTCCTAGAGAGAGCAAGGTGAATTGAAACATGGGAAAGTTACAAAAAATAATTCTAAACCTGTTGTACATCTGCTCAATTCAGTCATAAACCTTTTGATAATTTGCCAATGGAGTCCTTCTAGTCCCTATTGAGTAGAAATCGCTGACGTGGATGCCGGCCATCCCACGTGGTAAGGCTAATGTAGACATTTGATAATTTGTATAAATTTTTTCAAAATTTTTTCTGAAGTTTTTATAAAGAGTGCGTGGTTTGCCGGATAAAGAAGGTGTAGATCTTACTTCACATGGTGTTATTGGGTGCGTCGTGACTTTCCACATTCCATCGAGAGAGAGAGATAGAAAGAGATGGAATCCATCTTGAGGTTGGAAGCATTTTGTCAGGTCGACATTTATTCCTATTGCCCGGACGTTTGCGACCGACCCTAAAAAGGCTTCCTCTCTCTCCATTTGCTCGCAATAGATAAGTTTACAAAATTAAACATATAAGTGTTAATTTTTTAAAAATATTTTCAATGTTTAGTGGTGAAGTTTTCGGTACTTGAAAATAAAAATAAAAAGTTTTTTTTTTTTTATAAGAGATGTAAATTAAATTGTAAATTTTATTAGTTTATCACTGGATAGTGCTGATTGCTGAGCATTATTAGAAGGTTTTGACAATGTAATTGGTAAGGTTTTAACTTCCATTGAATATTTTATCATCCAATGAATTAAACGAGTTCTTCCTTTAATTACCGTGTTAAGTGATATTTGACTTTAAAAAATCAATTAATTTTTGTGTAGGTACAGATTATTAAATACACTTAATGAAAAATAAAGGGATGTCAGGATAGTTCTGCGCTTTGCTTTTCTACTTTATCTAAATTTTATTTCGGACGAAATTTGACTTAGCTTGAAATATTTGAAGCTTTCATACAAGGAATTCTATGATAGAAGCATGCATATGAGTTCGAGTAAAACGTATAAGTGAAGAAAAAAAAAGGGAATAATGACATGTGATGCGTCACTTTAAGAGTTCTCACATACACTAAAAAATCAGAAAAATTAGACCATAGTAAACAACTCCCGAGAATTAATAAACGAGAGAAGAACTCACGAGATCGATTGAAAGTAAGCAAAATAGCCTACACAATGAAACAAAGCCTGTTTTATTTCGGCACATCGGCAGTGTTAAAAAAACTATTTCACAAACAGGGTTAAGATATTCATGCGTAAATTTTTTTTATTGTAGTAACCATGTTCTTCTTATTAGCAGATGAAAGTTCCCAAGTCATATCTACTTGTGCAAAAAATAATTTTACTGTAAAAAATCCTATAAAGAAACTTCAACTCCTTGAGTAAATGAAAAGTATCTTCATCAGTCTTTTCTATGAATCCACCCCTAGTATATAATTATTCATTTCGCATGTGTATGCCGGCACCCCGACACGTGTACATTCCTATATGAGAAGGCTCATTATATCATGTCCAAATTAGGTAGTATTTCCCTAGAAATCGCATGCTGAGCAATCAATCAATAGTTCTCCATTCAATGTAAGAATTAACTGAAGTATCTCAATAACATAACCCCGGTTAAGGTCATTATCAATGTACCAGTCGAAAGATAGAACCCATTATTGAGCCAAAGATAATCTGTACTTGCCTAAAATTCTCGACTCCAGGATGAATGAACTGCTGATCCTTCGTTTGGCAGGACCCCAGGACAAAGATGACAAACAACTGCTAAACTAGAGGGGAGCTTCTGGAGCAAACATGGGGGCAGACACCTGGTCCTAATCCTGCATATTATGCTCAGTAAGAGGCCTGATGTGGGGTGTTCAGCGGGAAACTTTCTCGTGAATGGCAAGCTGATCATTGCGTGCTCGGATTCAAGGGTCGTGACGCGGTGGGGACCGACAGGAGCGAGGGTGATTTTGACCCCCGCGGAGAGTTTTGACTGGTGTTCACACACGAACATACACGCTCGAAAGTCTGCAGGATTGGCGGAGGACAGCTGAAGAATGTATGGAAACTGATTCAGACCATGCAAGAGAGAGAGAGAGAGAGAGAGAGAGAGAGAGAGAGAGATTCGAATGGTATCACTTTCATCGACCAACTGGAAACCACGTGGGCTATTGTCCCGAGGGCCGGATGCGATCCCAGTAAAATAATCAAGATTTCAAGCTAGCCTTTTTAAGGCAGGACTTCATTTTAAGCTACCTTTGCTAGCTTGCTATTTGGATAGAGCAAGAACCTCCAAAGCGAGAGGTGAATGAATAATACGCAAACGCATGTTTCCAGTCGTGAAAGAAAAATGATTTTTGATTGGATGACTACTAATTAAGTATCGTCGTGAATTATCATCGTTTCGAGAAGGGATGACACGAACGGTTACTAAAATTTCATTAAGATCTAGCTTTGAAATACTGAAGATAGCGTGCAATCTACAAGGCAATATTTGTTTGATTTTTTTTAAACAAGACCCCTAAAGACAAAAGTAATTTCGTCTTCATTTGTTTCACTCACCGCACACAATTGGAGTGTAATTTTTCAAACAACAATATCATATAACCTCATTCTCTGGATGATATGGTACACATGATATTCACTTTTAAGAAATTGTATTGTGATTGACTTGATCTAGTAGAACGAGTCTATGTAATACTTCAAGTTTTCTTTTTATGGAAACTTGTTGGGATATTTAACATTTTTCTTGTGAAAAATCTAAGAGATTCTCTATCACAGTCCCTAACCTATATATCTGTCCTTTTCTTTCTTCTTGCTCTCTCCTTCCAAGTGCTTTCCGTTGCTACAGCAGTCACCATTTCAATTCACATATGTACTTCTAAGTCATCTCTCTCTCTCTCTCTCTCTCTCTCTCTCTCTCTCTCTCTCTCTCTCTCTCTCTCTCAATGGAACATCAATCCAATCCATGGCATCAGAGCTCAGCCAATAATCCCAGCCAGCTCAACCTAGAGCTCGGACTTGAGCCATGTTCATCATCCTCGTCGTCATCACCAGCACTCCATACTCTTAAAGTTCCTGCAAAAGACAACAAGCTTTACTCATGCGACTTCTGCCAAAAGAAGTTTTATAGCTCGCAAGCACTCGGGGGTCACCAGAACGCGCACAAGCTGGAGCGAACCCTAGCCAAGAAGAGCAGGGACTTGTGCTCTGCCGTGAAACCTCATGCAGCGACCTCGAGTGGTCATCATGTACGGCCATCTCTTCAATCTATGATTTTTGAGAATCAGCCACGCGCGGCCAGGCTTGTTGGGGATCATATGAGGTATGCTGGGACAAATCTAAAGTATGGTTCATCTTCGTCTCAAGGATACATCGATGTACCTGATGACGAGGGTGATCTCCAGGAGGATTTTAGCCAGCTCGATTTGTCATTAAGGCTTTGATATGCAAGATCGGAGATGAGTAATAATCCAAGAACGCCGATCGACACATCTCAAGATATATAAGTGAAGATCTCTTTTGAGGGATTGGAGGTTTGCGGGTTCGAGCCTATTTTTTTACAAGATTTTACTTATGTGCAGATCTCATTTACTGAGACGTTAGTGTTCTGCATAGACTTACTTCCGGGCTAATTCCCTTAATTCACATGGTAATTCTTGTAGAATCATAGATATGGTTTCTAGCAAAAAGAATTATAGATATGGCATATAGGTATGTCGTTCTTTTAAGTTTAATACTTAATGTCCAGCTCACTTGATTTTAGAATAATATTTCCCCCCCTTTTCGTTGGGTGTTCTTACTCGTGATATGCTGTTTGGTGAAAGTGTACGAACTCTTGCGCAATAATTCTTAATAACGCTTTCTTTGCCACAGCTATTTTTTTACTGGGAGAAAGTATTATGTGCGTGGATAATACTGCATAGACGAGCAAAACGGTTCAGTTCTTTGATGTAGTGGCCGTGTAATTTGCGAATTCTGAAAGTGATTAAGTCGAGTGATAGCAAATTAGCAAGAATGGTAGTGTATCATCGTCGCATAAGAGACTCCCCGATTTTGATTATTCTGATTTGTCTATATGAATACATCTCGAACTGAATGCAAAATTACAGCCCTATGATAATGCTTGAAAATAAAATCTTATCGATTCTCACATTTCACAACATGCTCTTGATCATGTCATCAATGTTATTTAGTGCATATGCATATATACTTGTAGTATTCAATCTAGACGAACAAACGATACTACATGTTTGCTCAATCGTGTTTTCTGCTGCCTATTTGATCCTGCATTTCCATTGCAAAGAACAAACCTAACTCCATCTCTCTATTCCCTCACATCCCTTATTGGAGATCATCCACCTCTCCCCACACACGTACGCGCAGCCCATGCAGAGAGAGAGAGAGAGAGAGAGAGAGAGAGAGAGTAAATGGAAGTGTTGGTTTTAATTGATGATGGTTGGTGGGGGCATTGAGGCAGCGTTGACATGAAGGTGGAGACAAGGCAGGATTATGTGATTAGAGAGTTTTGCTTGTCTAAACCCATTTGGATTATGCCCTTTGAAAGTTTTGTATGTACTTCTCAGATGACAATTTCAATTTACCTTATGAATTGAGATATAGGAGCTCATCATTGTGTTTTTTGTTCTCTACGAGTAAATCAGCCTAGGTGAACCTTGTCGTTGCCAACAACGAAGAAGAGCTTGAGATGGGCGAAGCCTCTAACCTACACGATACTTTCTTTAGTACTTCAGTGAATCCAACTGTTAATTTATGGGAACGAGACTTGTATCCATAGCTGAGATTTGCCAAGACACCGATGGCAATACTACGGCAGGATAGAAGAATTCTATCCGCCCATGACTCATGACTATATAGATCACCAAATCTGAATTGAGTTTCTTTCTTTGGGTCATTTCGATCGCCAAGATAAACCACGAGGGAGAACCCATTAATATACTTTTGCGTGTATGATTCGAGTATACTTATAAGCAAGACGATTACTCATTTACATTTTGATGCTTCCCAACATGATATGTAAAAGGGAGTTATAATATCCATTAATATCATTGTTTGAGCAAGGCATGTACCATCAGCGATACGAGGATACTTCATATGGAGACACGAACAGAACAATCAGATCCCTCCTATCTCTCGCTACAGTAGTTGTTCCCGGGTTTCTCCATCTTGTGTGAAAACAAAAGGAGGCTATTTTTTTGTTGTGTGATACAATTGTTCACTTTCACTTTAAGCGAAGACCTAGATGGAGCTAGATGTGGTCATGAGTTGCCTTAGTTGACTGTATGTTTGAGCATTTAAACATGCGTCATGTATAAGCTCCAGTTTTGAGATTTACTTAGCTTGACATAGTCTCATGATTTCTATGTGATATATCACAAAAGAATTCCCGGTAATGCTTCGTGTACTCCTTTTGGTTTAGCGGTTGGGTGGTGCTCGGACTAGTTTTCGCACATCTCAACTAATCCACCTATCCAGACAACCTCAAATCACGTTTCATTTGCACAGAACTGCCTTCACAAACATTTTACATCGAGTTTAAGGTAGACACCCCCATCTGATCATGAGAGCAATATGTTTGGATGTTAAGAAAGATCATTAATTGTGACCATCAGATATAATTTTTGTCAAATCATGAGCTGGAACTCCTTTTTCTCCACGGTTCCAACAAATTCACATGGCTCTTTGCACCGAAGATGAAAACGATAGTGGGTGATGAGCGAGCCACACTGACTTTTCAGCTTTCCTTTTTGGGGCATTAGCTTTCGCTGGAAAAGTTCGACCAAGCCCCATTAATCAACAAGATGGGGCGCTAATCAACAATGTTGCACCTGTTTAGGGCGAGTCATGATGATGGCTCCCCTCAGATAATGTTTTTCACTTTTAGCTCACATCAGACTTTCAGCGACAGTCGATTGAGTTCGATCTTAATTGGCGTGGACAATGGACATGACTTAAGCTTTGTTCAATGGAACAAAGCGATTAAGCGAGTTCCCACACGTAATAAACAACAAAGGGGACCCATCACACATCTTTTCGATTAGACTGTCTTTCTCTCTCCCTCTGTGATAAGCCCACGATAAATTGTTTCAATTGGAGGAGTTCTTTATATAAAGTAATTCAATCGAGGGGCGTTTCATTTCAAGAGGGTCTTAATCTAAACGATGTTTCTCTTTTGTAAAGAAATAAAATGGAAGGATAAGTTTTAATGTTCTCGTGTATTGTCTAGATTTTGCGTGACAGCTATGGCCTTTCATGATTGCAACTATTTTTTGCTCTGAAATGGATAGAACCACATGGTTAAATGATTCTCCATGTGAGTTAGCCTATGTTCCATGGGAAGTCAAACAAAATGCTCCCCCAAAGATGTTCCATTAGATTTCATTGATGCTCTACTTAAAATTCTCAAACATTTTGATGGAAATCTTTAAGATCGTATCGAAGTGTATATATGTATACTTATCTTTTTTTGTTCCTACAAGGTTAAGTTTTAGGGTGAAATTCCTTAATTAGTATGATATTAGAGCTTAATCTATTCAAGCACCATTTGCCTAATATTTGGCTCATATTCATATCTCCGACGATAGTAATCATTTTCAGCGTGTGAGAAGAATCTTTATTTCATGGTTTCACATCATTTACACTTATGAGGGTATTATCGTATTTAATCTTTCTTTTTGGTTGCATGGTAAAAATATGAGCCTAATATACATGCAGTCATCATGCCATCTAGTACCTGCATCACTGACATGGTTTATTAAGATGACGAGCAACCTAATGATATGATCTTGAACTCATGCTGAAACGTATCAACAAAACACCTTTTGAAATGTGAGTCTATATGGAATCAACAAATAATGGCCCCGTTTGGTTCAGCTTTGAGAAAGGGCTTTCGGCCTTGAAAACCCTTTTCCAAAATGCTGAATTGGTTCAGATTTTGGCCTAGCATTGGCCAAATGTTAGCATTTGGAATGCTGAACCCAAATTTTTTGTCCCCAAACTACCCTCACATATTTTGGCTTATTCCGGTTTTTTCCCTCTTGTTACTGTTCATCTTCTTCGTGAGGCTGCCGGCGAGGGAGGCCGACACCGAATCGGGCTGACGAGGTCGTCCTTGTCGGCCGCCTCACGAAGAAGATGAACAGTAACAAAAGGGGCAAAACCGAACCAGTTTTGGGCTTTCGGCATTCCACAAATGTTGAACCTAAATTTTTTTGTCCCCAAACTACCTTCACTTATTTTAGCTTATTCCAGTTTTACCGATCTTGTTGCTATTCATCTTTTTCGTGAGGCGGCCAGCGAGGGAGGCTGACACCGAATCGGGCCGGCGAGGTTGCATGACCTAGGCGACGGCCGCCTGAGGTCGCGCGACCGCCCAGGCGCCGCCGGCCTAGGTTGTGCAAGGCCGTCTGCCGCCTGGGTCGCGTGACCCTCGTCGAGGGTCACCCGGCCTCGGGCGACGGCCACCGGCGACAAATCTGGGTCGCCGGGGGTCCCCTGAACTCAGGAGACGGCCGCCAGCGCCAGATCTAGCTCGCCGGCGGCCGTAAGCCTTCGCCGGCTCTGGCGAAGGGTAGGGTAGGTTTTTGTTTTTTTAATAAAAAAGATAATTCCCAAAGCCCTTTTGCAAAAAAAAATTTGCCAAACACTACTTGGGTCAAAGTAGCTTTACAAACGATTTTTTACCAAATGCCATTTGCATTTCCCCAAGATGCTTTAACCTATTTGCATTCCCCCAAGTAGTATTTGGAAAGTTGAACCAAACGGGCCGATGTGAAGGATTCTTTTTTTATTCTTGGATAGGAAACACAAATAGATAAGAAAATTAAAGGTATGAAAACTGAAGACAGTCGCAACCAACCATATAAACGGGTACTGAAATATAAAGATAACATGAAGATAAAACAGAATAATCGGTAATCATTGATTGATTGATGATGCCTTGCTCAAATTACAATCCTAATATTTATAGCTACTAGAAATGGTTAACAACAATTACAAAGAAAGCATATAACAACCTATGTGACTCTCAGAATTCAGCAACATGTATTTACAATGATTATTAAAAGACCCACAACTGGACGATCATGGCCTCATCACTTGCCCAACGTTGATGGTCTTTTTACAACTTGCAAACTCTCTTCCTAACAGTTATAACAACCCGTTTCTCGATCCCAAAGTCCATTGAGAAAGTTGAACCAAACGCACCCAACATGGTATCAAAGCCATTATTCCTGAGGAAACTCTTAGTTCACCGAGTGTACATAGCAATCGATGCACCTTGAGCACCTCAGTGCACATCCAAATATATACATCCCCGCTGCTCAACAGTGTTCACTCCATGTGCACAAGTCTTATATCATGAAGCGCTTAGTTAAGCCGATCCACAATGGTCATGTTTCTACGCCAACCGCACCGGCCGCATCGC